GCCGCGCCTTAAACTCTGACAGGCTTGGTGCCGTGACCACTTCCCTGGGGAGCCTGAATAAGAGCTGATAAAATAATGAAGAAAGAACAATAAATTGTGCACAGGAAATTATAAACCAGCTTTAATCTTGGCCATTCTCAGAAAAATAGAGAGATATAAAACTTATTACCATTTTAAAAAGTATATTGCAAAACATGAGATGTAGTTCTGCTTCTCCACCTGTTACGATGAATCCCCAAGGCATAATACATTTCCTTTGCATAAAGAAAAATATAAATTTTATAAAGTTGTATATTTTCCTCACAAATCCATCAACAAAAAACCCTTTCATTCTGAAAAGATTTGACTGTCTGGGACAGTATTTAGATTTGCTGCTCCAGATCAGTACCATTCTCCTTTGGTCCTACAAAACTTCTGCGTTGCAAATTTACTGAATACATAACTGTGGTGAAAGCTCTTTTCAGAAGCGTCATATGCAACAAAAGAAGTGGAAACATCTGTGAGTTAATAGTCCAAAGAAACCAGAAAGAACTGGGAAAGCAGTATGAAGAGCCATAGTGCCAGTCTTGCAATACATCAAAAAATACAGCAGAACTGCACCATGCTGTGTTTATTACCAAAAGATGAGACAGACGTGGGAGCAAGAAGACTTCAGAAGAAATCTTAGTCAACTGCTGTCACTGAGGTTAATCTTAGATGCCACCTATGATAACGAAGTTCTAGCCAGAGTCTCAAGACAGACACACAGCAATTACAGCTTGGGGACCTTACATAAACAGCTAGCTAACATATTTATCATGGTCTTGTGATGGTACTTGAATCACAGCTGTGTGACATATGCTGAATGGATTATATTCTAAAAATAGCTGGTGCTTCTCTGCTAGTCTATTCAATCAGCAAATAGCCCCCCTCCAGTTTCTCTCAGTGCTGAAAGTATTTCCTCTAGAAAAATATACTGAGGAAAGAATTTCTGTTTAGAAACCATAAGAAAAGTAAGAAAAAAAAGTAAGAAAAAAATGTCTGTAAGACAGGTCATGAGTAAAGGTTGTAAGTGGGATTTTTATGGATGCATTTCTGTCTCTAAAGGACTGGGAATCAATGTCAGCTCAGGTATATGAAGATCACAAGTCATAAACACCCTGATTTTAGATGAGTTCAAAGTTCTACACTGACAGGCACATAGCCTTGTCCATCATCTACACAGATAATAAACACTTTGAACATATCATAAAGGACTAGGTTGAAAACAAACCATAAAAGTAACTCTTGCACTTTAATAGTTGTTCAGTGTCTTTATATGCATTTAATCTCTTTAAGATCTGAAGTTGGTTAGCTGAAAAATGACTACCTTCACATCTCAAAATCTTCCAGTTAACCATCACAATGCTTTCAAGTGGTCACCCAGTCTCATCCCTCTGAAAGCTTCCAAAGTGGCTTTTAAAATAGACAGTAGATGGGGGAAATGAATTGTATGTTTACAGATCCTGTTTTACAGAGACAGTAAGTAAATTTAATATTAGTATTTGCACGTACCATTTCCTTGTGATTTGGATAGAACGTTTGCTCAATTAAAGGGAACTTCTCTGGACCCAAAGTTTTGTAGACAGACACCAGCTGGGCAAACTGTAAAATAAAGCAAAGCAAAACAAAACAAAAAGCTTAGGAGAGAAACCACATTCTACCAAAATGATCTCATACTGTCATTTTGCTTCGTCTTCTGCGTTTCATAAACTCAGCAAATACACATACACATTATACGCTTTCTCTCTCCTCCTCTCTCACATGCACACCTTTTTAGTCCATCCAAGCTATGACTTCCTATACAGATCAACAAAGAACAATGCCTCTAAGAGTTAAGCCTTCACACGTACAGAAAATGAAATACATCAGAATAATGCTTTTCAGATACCTCGTAGTCTATATATTTTAAGCTGATTTTGTGATAATAAAATCATTATAATTTTGCATTTTCTAACACCTTTAATCAAAGATCAGACATATTTCACATTAATTTAGCTTCTGGCACCTCACTGATATTGAAATGCAATTTTGCAAAACTGGCAAACAGAAAAGCAGTAGCTATGTCATATGTAACAAGTCAGGTGAAGAACAAACAAGAGAATTTTAATTTCCTATGCTCTAGCCATGTGCAATAGACACATGGCCATTCTTTCACAGTCAACAAAGATGTTAATAATTTAAACAGCTACATGTTATTGCCATTTTTATTAATGTTTTCTTTCTGGGCGCTTTCTCCAACATATCCAGTCTACCTATACGCTAGACTGTACTAACTTAACACAGAAAGCAAAGCAAACCAACATTTAAACACAAAAAGACAAAGAATTGTCTATTAAATAGAAATGTATTTTGGGGTTGTTCTTTCTCTTTAGCGAACAGATCACTCTTTTGTTGTAACAGTTCAAAAACTAAATCACTCTCGAAATCACAGCTTAGCAAGTGAGGTTTCTAAGGAGCAAGATGACTTTGGCAGTCAGAAAACCACTATTGTTTCAAGACTCCAAAGCTCTGGCTTGTACATGCCTGTGATGTGTTTAATTGTCATTATGCCAACATGAGACATAAACAACTTAGCACAACAGTTTGAATAGTGGGATTTGCTGGTTACAAACAGGGGAAAAAAGCAAAGAACAACAGAACTCTGTGCATAATGCAGTTAGATAAAATATCTACTCTGTTAATGCAATTTAGGGTGCAGGGATAGTAAAAACTGTTTAAAGGGGAAAAAAATTACGAAAGCTTTGCATCGCATTTCCAGCTGGCATAGAGAATTTGTTTAATTTAGTGGTGTTTACTTAGGTTTGGTAAAACACATATTTAAATTTTGAAGTCCAGTGGAAAATACTTTAACGATGAGTCATTTTCACGAAAAGCTTAAGAAACTCTAGTTGGATAGTGTGCTGTACAAAACAGACCTCAAGGAAAGGAAATATTATCACAGCTACCAAAATAAGGTGGTTTGCAAATAGGATTCCTGACAACTTACTGTTGATGTCTGTTCTTACCCAAGATCCAAACTCAAAATTTCATAAGCAAATAGTGCCTATTAAATACGTGATTTTTCCCAAACAATTGTTATGTTAGAATAAATCTATTTACTTATCTTTAAGTAAAAACCTTTAAAAAACCATATGATTGTATTTCTTGTGATTCTTTCCTTATTTTCTTTTCCATTTTCACTGAAAGCAAGCAAAAGACAGTGAGAAACTGACACTATTTGCAGGGGTTGTGGCATTCATTCACGAGGTAAGAAAGCTATAATTCAGATTAGTACTAGAAAATGTTTACTTAAAATAAAATAGTATCAACCACAGATAACACACATGTATCACTCTAAAGTATCCTCTAATCTAGTAATTAAGCTATGAAATAGCACGTAGGAAAAGCAGGTTTAAGTTTCCTGAGGCAGAGGACAGCAATAACTCGGATTTCCCACAGCCGGTGGGGAATGATTTAACCTTTGCCCCTACTGGGACACTGCTCCACCTGTATGTCTACAATTTTAGGAACCTCTTGTCAAACTTTTCTCCCCGAAAAAAGTAACTTGATAAATTCAACCCAAATTCACATAAAATATTGGCAATGTAATTGCACATCCTTAAATGGCTATAAATATTTCCCTCATTCCTACTGGGCAATTTATGAAAAAGAATTTCTTTTATGTTTTAATGATCTTCTATCATCTATCTATCTATCTATCTATCTATCTATCTATCTATTTTGTAAGTGTGATTTAGACTATACCTTTTTATATTTTCCTTATGAGCAGCTGAACCAAACAAACATCAGTTATACAGACTGAAGCAAAAGACCACTTTTGAAAATCCTGTTGTATCTGGACAGTTTGGAAGCTATACAGAGCTTACAAATAGGCTGAATATAGAATACCACATTGCCTGCTTTTCTATCCAAACCAGATTTTAAAGGTCTGCTGGAAACTACACTAACAAGTTTGATTTGACATATTTTAGACTTCATTAAAAAAAAAAAAAAAGACCATATTAATGCTTTGCCTTGATTAGAGTTTTGAAAATGTTATGTTATACTGGGCTAGCTAACATGACCTTAAATTACACATTTAAATCACTGTAAAGTTTATCAAACTCTTCCCTGGGCAAGAGCATCATCTTTTTAGATGATTGATAAACTACTGAATTATTATGTAATCCAATGCTGAATGTTTTCAGATATGGGATGTTCATGAAATAGAGATACTGGTAGAGCCACTCTATATTTAAATAAAGTATTTTATATGGATGCCAAAAACTCTGGGAGATTTTAACAATTATCTAAAAAACACAAACTCACAGAGCTTAGTATTTCAGAAGGAGTCTTTTCAACATCTTAAGAAAAAACAAGAAAGTGGAAAAAAGTAATTTTAGCTCTTATTTTAGCTAGCTGAATTTAATTCTCATTTTCAAATTTTGCATCTTATTTTCAGCTTGAAGACAGATATTCACAGGTACATATATTTATGGTTTTCGGGTGTTTTTTTTTAAAAGGAAAATAGTGGGATTTTGTAATATTCTTTGTAATGTCAGGTCTACTCTTTTCTACTAGTGATTAAATGCTTTTGCATCTAGGCCTATAGACTGTTCCTCCATAAAAGAACAGGAGAGCACCAGCTGTATTTTTTCTCCTCTCCAATGAAGTATGACACAGATAAGAAGAAATACTTGGTCAACAAAGACAATTATTCCTTTTGATTTCATATAAAAGCTTTATGGGGTTTCATTACACTAAGAATGGAACACTATAAATTTGACTTCATAGACTGTACTGTAATCAAGAAACACACAGTTACAAAAAATCACTGCTAACTTAGAATCATGGAATCATAGAATCGTTTAGGTTGAAAAAGACCTTTAAGATGATCGACTCCAACCATTAACCTAGCACTGCCAAGTCCACCACTAAACCGTGTCCCTAAGCACCACATCTACCCATCTTTTAAATACCTCCAGGGACTCAAGCACTTCCCTGGGCAGCCTGTTCCAGTGCCTGACTGCCCTTTCGGTGAAGAAGTTTTTCCTAATATCCAATCTAAACCTCCACTGGTGCAACTTGAGCCCATTTTCTCTCATCCTATCACTTGTTACTTGGGAGAAGAGACCAACTCCCACCTCACTACAACCTCCTTTCAGGTAGTTGTAGAGACCAATAAGGTCTCCCCTCAGCCTCCTCTTCTCCAAACTAAACAACCCCAGTTCCCTCAGCCTCTCCTCATAAGACTTGTGTTCCAGACCCTTCACCAGCTTCGTTGCCCTTCTCTGGACACGCTCCAGCACCTCAAGGTCCTTCTTGTAGTGAGGGGCCCAAAACTGAACACAGTACTTGAGGTGCGGCCTCACCAGTGCCAAGTACAGGGGCACTATCACCTCCCTGGTCCTGCTGGCCACACTATTCTTGATACAAGCCAGGATGCCAA